TCAAACCTAGTTGATCCATGGTCTTGAATTATATTTATATTGCTTGTATGCAGTTTCTGAATTGTACATGGTTATAGCTACAGCGCCATGTCTGTAGGTAAAAGTTCAGAGTTTTAAACGACAGATCCAGGGAAGAAGACGATAGCGTGTCACAACTTTACTGGCCGGTTTAAATTCTGGCGTGTTTATTCTGGCCAGAGACCTATATTTCTGATCTATTTGTTTGCTTCTGTTGTATTGATAAACTAACACCCAACGCAGTTGGTCAGAAGAAGGAAGTCAGAAGTTCATGATTCTGGGTTCGATTCCAGGCGTGACCTTCTGGCCTTTTCCCCCTTTGTATTCACCAGATCCATCGCCTGCACTTTCTGAGGGTCATCTTCTGAACCCACCAATCAGGACCAGATCCAGCACCCTCTAGTCACGATTTGCTGGATCCTCCAGCCAGAAGCAGGCCCAGTACCATCATCCTCTGATCACCACCCTCTGGGATCACCATCCTTTGGGATCATCATCCTCTGATCACCATCCTCTAGACCATCATCCTCTGATCAGAACTGCTGATAGCAGGCCCTTGGGTTATTTCTTTTTTTCTCTTTAATTTATCCTTTTTAGTTATTCTTTTTTATTTATTTATTATCAACACCAGAATCACTTTTTTTTTCTCCAACAAAAACTCATAAAATCAATTTTCATCAAATTAGATTTAGGTTTTATTTTTTATCAAAAATTAATTTAATTAGTGTAATTTAATTTTAGGGTAATTTTAATTTGTTTTATAAATAAATTAAAAACAAATTAGAAATTAGGGCTTGTGTAATTTAATTTTTATTTTCTTTTCTTGAAATAACAAAAAATACAAAAATAGGTCAAATAAAATATTTTTCTTAATTTAATTTAATTAGTAATTAGTTTTGTACATACTTAATTCAAAACCTTACTTTCTCAAAATAATCAAAAACAACCAAAAAATAATTTTCTTTTAATTAGGTTAGACGGGGTCAAAACCCTAATTTTCTCTTGTCCTCGATTCATCGCGCGTTTATTATTTTGGCAAATATTAATGTAACTGCTCATGGGATGTAATAGCTTAATTATGACCTTTCATTTATTTATCGCTTTCACGGGTTTTTGGCTATGTAATTAATCCCCCACCTAAAGCCTTGTAATAGCGTAGCTTTATTTTCCGCATTTTAGTTTTCGCAAATATTAACTGTTAGATGTATGATAATAGGGTTGCATGAAAAGAATGTATGCTAATTTTAAAATGGTTAGCAAATCCTAAATGTGCAAAGATAATAACTTGAAATTGAATCACTCACACATGTGCACTCCTAAGGTATACTCTCACTTCGGTGGCCTTTGGTAAATGATCATTAAGTATAGTGTGTTTTAGTGGTCGCCCTCTTGTCTAAATCAAGATCAAATGTCCCGTTCAAATATGTTGCCTCGGAAAGGTTGCCTCAGAAATGTTGCCTCGAATATGATCTTAAGACACTAGGGTTATTACTAAGACGTCCTAACATTGCTTTAGTGATCGTACGTCCCTTTCAAATTGATCCTTACAATTCCAACGATGGTGCTACCTATTTCTCAATAGTAGGATAGCGCTGTCTAAAGGAAACGAGAATAGAAACATTCTTTTTTCGAGTAGGTAGATGCTAGTAGGTACTTGCTCAAAACGAACTTTTTTCACACTTACACTTTCAAAACAAAGTTTTTCAAAACACTTCGTAACACTCTTGAGGACAAAAACAAGGGTTAAAACGAAGTAAAACAAAACTTTTCAAAACAAATCACACACAAGTAATTTAAAAATGAGCAAGTACCTAAGAGCCCGTAGAAAACTACGGATAGAAAGGGTGCTAACACCTTCCCTTTCTATAATCTACCCCCCGTACTTAAAATCTCGAAAAAGGATTTTTTCTGTACTTTTTTCCTTTTCCTTGTTGGATAAAATAAAAGTCGGTGGCGACTCTTGCTTACTGTGACATTTTGCGAACACAAACGTAAAATGTAAACCAGCATTTTCTCAAAATAGTCTGGTTCTGCCACCGTATCACACATAAGAACTTGATTCTCAGGTCAATATCAACTTTAATTCCCAGGATACATGCTTCATATTCATCCATATTATTGGTGCAGTCAAAGTAAAGTCTGGCAGTGAAAGGCGTATGACAACCCTGGGGAGAGATAATTACAACACCAATTCTGTTTCCAAGTGTGTTAGAAGCTCCATCGAAAACCATAGTCCATCAGAATCCTAGCTCAGGTCCTTCATACGATCCAAGTTTTCCATAATCTGTAACTAGCATAATATCCTCGTCCGGGTATTTCAAGTTCATAGATTGATAGTCGTCTACAGCTTGATGCACCAAATGATCTTCCAGTACAATTCCTTTGATTCCTTTTTGAGTGGTGTACTGAATATCGTATTATGTCAAGACCATATGCCATCAGGCTATTCTTCCGGAGTGAGTTGGCTTCGTGAATACATATTTGATGGGATCCATTTTAGAGATCAATAGAGTAGTATGAGTCAACATATACTGTCTTAGTCGATGATCAGCCCATGCCAAAGCGCAACAAGTTTTCTCGAGTAGTGAGTATCTTGTTTCACAGTCGGTAAACTTTTTGCTAAGGTAGTATATTGCATGCTCTTTTCGACCAGACTCGTCATGCTGCCCCAATACACACCCCATTGAATTCTCTAGCATTGTTAGGTACATGATTAAAGGTCTTCGTTCAACCGGTGGCATCAGAATCGGAGGTTCTTGTAAGTACTCCTTGATTTTATCAAAAGCTATTTGATAGTCGTCATTCCATTTTACTACTTGATCTTTCTTCAGCAACTTGAAGATTGGCTCACAAGTAGCAGTCAAATGAGAAATGAATTGAGCAATGTAATTCAGTCGTCCTAAGAAACCATTGACTTCCTTCTCGGTGCAGGGAGCCAACATTTCTTGAATAGCTTTAACCTTAGCCGGATCAACTTCAATACCTTTACCACTGACGACGAAGAAGGAAGTCAACGAGATCCAAAGTGGTTGGGGATCTGGAATGTAGTTTGTGGGTTTGTGTAAGAACACATAGCTCTTTGAAAATGCAATAAAGTAAAAGAGAGACAAAGAGCGGAAAATTTGAATTGAAAACGTCCAATGTTCTCATTAAATGAAAATATGACATATGAAATGACAACCTATAACAAATGAACCATTGTGCCCCGGGTAAGACACAAGGTTTAAAGTCATTGTTTTAAAAGAAATTACATAACCAAACTTCTTAAAGCCATAAAAACATAAATATATACTACTTCTGACTAAAGGACACGAAGATGATATCTTCTGCTTTCCAATTGTTGAGTCGGTTTCCCTTGGTAGGAAAGATCTTGTTGTCGAAGTCACTATCATTGTCAGTATCCTCTATAACATTGATTCCATTGTTGCTGACACAGAATGGAGGTCTTCCAGCTCGAGCGTGACGAACAGCCCCATTGACCTTCTGTAGTAAATCCCAAATCAAACTTATCATATTTGTAAGGGATATCAGGAAGCTGACCCCAAATTGTGCAACCACTTTCTTCTATAGTAGTTTGGCATCTTTCAAAGATTCCATCTTGTGCGGAACCTTGGTAGTCTTTGGAATGGCAGAAACATCTTTAAAAGCAGCAGGGGAAATCACTTCAAAAGTTTAACAGGGAGTCTCGATGAATTCACCGTCCATTTCTACATACCAGAATGAATTCAGATGGCTGGCCATGTACTCCTCCTCTCTGCAGATAGTAACAATCTTCCCTTTCACATGATACTTTAATTTCAGGTGTAAGGTGGAGGTAACAACGCCTACCCCATAGATCCAGGAGCGTCCTAGTAGACAAGAATAAGCTGATCGGATGTCCATTACGTAGAAGGTGGATTCAAAGATCTGTGAACCCACTTTAATCGGGAGGTTCGCTTCTCCATGTACCATTCTTTTTTATCCGTCAAAGGCTCGTACTATGATGTTGATGGGTTTCAACACAACCCCTTCACAATCCAGTCTGTCGAGAGTGCCCTTTGACGGAACATTCAAAGAAGAGTCACTGTCAACTAACACATGAGACAAAGTAGTCCCCATGCATTCAATGGAGACATACAATCACATCAATTAATTCTAAAATGAGAATTTGTGGAACTTATATAAAGATGTTGTTAGATCAAAGAAAAAAAATGTAGATAAATGATAAGAGAATAAGATAAAAATTTGTCTATCAAAATTAAGTACAGTCAGAAGAATATTAAAAGATAAATGAAAAAAATGCTTGTATATATTAGAGTTGTTCAATAAGATTTTTAATAAGTGAAAAGATTTTAAAAAGTGAGAGTGTAATATATCTTTTAAGATATGCCACTTAAGATTTTTGACATGGTAAAATTTGGAATACTTGACACAAAATTGATCGTTATAGTTTTCAATTCTGTTTTAATATATTATAAATAGATAAATATATTATTATTAATTTAATGAATAAAAGACTAATATGCAGTAAGTAAAACTTTCATACTTTCATATAAAAAGTACTCTCCATAGACTTCTTGCACTATGACGGCGAAGTAACAAAAACTTATATTCTATTGGCCAATTAAAATAATTTCACTAAAGAAATCAATTTTGTGACTTCACTGTATAAGCTTCCATATGTTTACTGCTCTAATGAAAAGTAACATAAGAAACATCAAGAGAAGGAGTCAAGCCTCATGACTACTTCATGCATTGGATATCTGCGGCTTACCTCAACATTATTCACAACTACAACAATATTACGTTATTTTCTATTAGCACATACAATACAATATTATATTTATGGTTAAACTAATATTCAAAATCTCCCTAGCTAGCCGTCCTTAGCCGTTTGTTGGCAACCCCCTCACACTGGTGTTGTATGTTTGTGTATATATTCGTATTAAGAAACCAAATTAAAGAAACAAAGAGCAATAGTAGTACTTCATTGATCAAGCAATATGGCTCATTCACGTGCTCTATTCCTCTTTGCTCTCATTGCTACTATCTTCTCAACTATAGCCGTGGCAAAAGATTTTGTAGTTGGAGATGAAAAGGGTTGGACACTTGGAGTTGATTATCAAGTTTGGGCTGCAAACAAGGTCTTTCATCTTGGAGACACACTCAGTAAGCTCATTCCATTTATGTTGTTTTCCTCTCTCTGATGAATATAATGAATTAATTAGTGATAAAATGTTGAATTAAACTTGCATTGCAGCATTCAATTATGTTGCTGGTGAGGACAGTGTGGTGAGAGTAAATGGAAGTGATTTTCAGAGTTGCTCAGTTCCTTGGGCAGCACCAGTGTTGGGTAGTGGACACGATGAAGTTGTATTGACAACATATGGAAGAAGATGGTACATTTCAGGTTTTGCTAACCACTGCAAAAATGGACAGAAGCTTGTCATAACCGTCTTGCCATCACAACAATTACCTTGGTCTCCAGTACCTTCACCTTCACCCTCACCTGAGGATGCACCATGGTCCGCTACCATTCCCCGCCGATCCCTGCTGTCAAAGAAGCTATTCCAAATGATTCACAGAAATCTTATAGCTGTTTGAGGATTTGAATGTTAACTGATCATATGTCTTGTTTCAAAGAGGGGCTATTTTTCTCATTAGTTATCACTAAATAATTTAGTCCCCTATTATTTTTATTATTTTTGTTTACATGGTGAATGTATTTTAGTTTGATGTTTTGAAATTTTATTAAATCAAATTAGTTTTAGTTTTGAATTTCAGTTGTAACTTTGAATTTTGAGTTTTAATAATGAATTGTTTTCTATTTTTATATTTGAAAGTCCAGTCAATCTATTAATATTAGAAGAGTAGCTCAAGATTGCATCATTTACTTTATTTAGCACATGATATATTACATCAAGCACTTGTATGTTTAAGCATTTGTAAGCTTAGGTCACCATGCACATGTATAGAAGGATGTTTGCATGGTTACATAAAAGGCTCTTTGTTTTGGCATTTATTATAAATGATTTTTATAGTGATAGAATTGTTTTTCTAAAGTTACAATTTTTTTTTTATAAAAGTTTATGATAAAAATTTAGTTTGAATAATTATTCTTAAAATGTTATTTTAGAGATATTTTATATTGAATTTTTTTTTAGATATTAAAATTTTAAAAAAATCACTTAACTTTAAGGCTATTTCAAATAGCTTTTGATAAAAATCATTTTTGAAATACAATTTTTTGAATAAATTACGATTTCGAGTATGTTTTGATTTTAATTAATGTATGTTTATATTATAGGATGTCAAAATTAATCATTCAATTTAGAAAAAACAAATATAAAAAAACTTTTAATATTTTGAAAAACGGTTTTATAAAATCCATTTTTGAAAATATAAAGAAAGATTCATTTTTTAAAAGCTAAAACAAACATGCTCAAACTCTCCATGCATAAACTCCTATAAGTATGAGAGTACCATGGCTTGTAAACTCAACTCATTAATGCACAATGCTAAATAAAGTTCATACAATTTTATCATGGTATCATTCACCAAGTTCGACCCCTTATACTCTCTAAATATCTCTCATTCGGTTGTAATTAACATTCGCAAGTTTGAAGAACTACACCTTCATCTTCCTCTTCCTTGCACTTATCGCCATGGGCGAATTATTTGAAGCTCCAACAGTTGGAAGCTTATCTCAAAATTCTCAGGTAATCTTAACTAATGCCTCTAATTCATCTTCATCACATCATTTTGGTCCAAAGCTTTCAATCAAACTTCAAGACAACAACATCTCATGTGGAATAAGCAATTTGAATGTGTCATCCTCACTCAAAGAGTGCACAATATAGTGGTGAATCCTCAAATTCAAAAGATGTTCAAGTCTGAACAAGATCGCATCGAAAGAAAAATGTCTAAAGAGTATGAAGCCTGGAAGGACTAAGCTGTGTTCATCTGGCTTCTATCTATCATATTTGAATATGTGCTTCCTCGAGTGTTATCTTGCAACCATTCTTATGAATATTAGGACAATATTTACATGTACTTTAATTCTCACATGAATGTACGAGTTAGGAAACTTCGTGTTGGGTTAAAATCCATGATGAAAGACAATAGATCTATCACTAAATATGTGCTTTGTGTTAAAGTCATTGACAATTTGTTACTTGTTATTGGAGAGTCAATCTAAGGCCAAGATTAGATTTATTCCATCCTCGATGGATTATCAGAGGAATATAACCCATTTATTATACAAATGTATGACAATCTCGAGCCTTTAACACTCTTTGATGTTGAAGCAGTCCTTTATGTTCAAGAAGCTCAACTTAACAACGTCGAGCAAGAATTGACTCTCTCTAGTGTGATTGCAAATTTGACTTACACAAATCAATAAACAAGTGGCATGCATGAAATCTATGCAAAAAATCATGGCATGAGACACATTACTCATGGTAGAGGTCGTGGTAGAGGTCATTCCTCTTTAGGTAATATACATACTTGTCAATTGTGTGGGAAATATGATCATGTTGTTGCTTAATATTGGCATAGGTTTGATGAGTCCTGCACACCTACACAAGCTTAGTCAAATTTGATAGAATTTCAAGGTACATCCAATGACAAACATGAAGCATCGACCTCTAACACTCAAGTCATAACTATGATGGACATAACTCATGAGTATTCTCTACCCGAGGATCTTGAAAAATAACTCTGGGTTGCTGACTCATGTGCCTATCCCTATATTATTCCTTATGCTCATTTCTTACATACCGAGAAATATTATGCCGGTAAAATTTGTGTGTTTTGCTAATGGCCAGTCTTTAGCCATCAATTGTTTAGGATCTTCTTGTCTACTTCCCAAATCAAACCATACCTATCCACTTGTTCTTAATGATATACTCTATGTGCCTTGCATAACAAGAAATTTGCTTTTAGTCAAAGAATTTCAAAAGTTAATAGAGTTGGGTTTGAATTTATTACTAATAAATGTTATGGTAAATCTTAGATTTCTAAGCTCATACTTCTTAAAGGCTACCTTGACTCAAGTGACTTGTATTTCTTTCCACGATTTCTAGTGGAGCCTTCAAGGACATCTTCTCAGAGTCATATTGGTTCCTTTCCTTTGCATAAAAATGTCAATTCAATTTCTTGTTATATCATTTAAAATATTAATAACCCTAGAAATAGATCTTTATGGCACTATAGGCTAGGTCCAACCATTTTCCTACTATTAGATTTACTTTAAAACATTGTAATATCAATGTCTAAATAAAGGAACTAATTTGTTTTATAAATCTTGCTGCTTGGAAAAATTCTACAAAATACATGCTCCCTTAACTTCCAATATGTATACTCCCCCCTTTAAAGTCGTGCACACTGATCTTTGGGGCCCTGAACCCCATCAATCTAGTTCAGGAGTTTACTACTATATTGCATCGACCAAGCTAAATATTACAAAGAACTACTAAAATAGATTTGACATAGAAAATTCCAAAATAATAACAACTCCAATGTCAACCACATATAACCTAGACAAGGACGAAAAATAAGTTGAAGAAAGAAAATATCGAGGTATGATAAACCCTCTTCTCTATATCATTGCATCTAATCCTAATATCATGTTTGTTATATTTATTTTTCTTGATTTCAAGCATCCCCCAAAGAATTACATATCAGTGTGATGAAACGTATCATGAGATATCTCACGGGCATACAACAAATGGGTTTATAGTACCCTAATGGGACAACTTGTGATTTAATTGGGTACACCAATTCTAATTTTGCTGGTTGCAGATTAGATAAGAAAAGTACTAGCAGTACTAGCAGTACACGCTACTTACTTAGAGACTTGCTTGCCTCATGGCATAGTGCAATACGGTGGGAGAACTGACCTGGGTGTTTTGTGTTTTATTGCAAATGTTGCGGATAAAACAAGAGTCATCACTGACTTTTATTTTATCCAATAAAGGAAAGGGTGAAAAGAACAAGAAAGACCTTTTGAGAATTTTCTTGATTTCGGGGGGTAGGGTATGAAAAGGGAAGGTGTTAGAACCCTTTTCATCCATAGTTATCTACGGGCTCTTAATTGCTAGCTCATTTTGAAATGCTTTGTGTTTGTGTAAGTTTGAAAATATTTTGAAAATGCCTTTGTTCGAAAAACTTTGCAATGATTCTCGTATCATTGAGAACGTATACAAAGTTTTGGTTTTGAAAATATTTGTTTGAAAAGGAGTGTTTGGAAATATGTTTTGAAGATGCCAATGTAAGACAATTTTGTAATGATTCTCGTATCGTTGAAAATGTATACAAAATATTTGTCTGAAAAGTGTTTTGAAAGTGTGAAGTATGGAAATGGTTTTGTTTGTGAGCAAGAAATTACGAGCAATCTACCTACTCAAAAAGTATTTGTTCTTTTCCTCCTCCTTTAGATAGTGCTATTTTACCATTGATTGATAGAGAGCCTTATCATTAGATGTGAGGGACATGTGTGGGTCATCGTACAATCATAGAAGGCAACTTGTAAGATGTTTTAGAAATTGTTGTAAGGGACTGAGGTCGTTTCCCAAAGGCAACATCAAAGGGTCATCGAGAGACTACAATCTTGTAATTGAGGGTCTTTGCTAAAACATCCCACATTCGAGGGACGTGATTGTTTATATCAAAGGCAACAAGTGTGGGTTACCCTAGAGGTCCATGTGTGCAAAGTGTGTTTGATTCAAATATTTATCTGGAAATTAGGGTTGTCTAATGTTTTGATTTTAATCTTGTCATGCAAACCCTAATTACTAGCAATAATAAGGGAAGCGATAAATTATGGAATTTAAATGTCCTACGCTATTACAACACTTTGGGAATGGAGGGTACAAATTTGTGAATGAGGGGAGGAAAGCAATCAACCCTAATTATCTATTGCAAACCATTGGATATGAATAATAATAAAATACACAACATGTAAAGGTGAAGAAGAAAAAAGAAATTGTTTTTGTGTGGTTTTTGATGGAAAAGAAAGGTTTGATAGTTAACCTAATTAAAATAATTAATTAATCAACATAAAAAACCTAAAATCTATGTTAATTAACTCGTGTTAAGGCTTGCAAACAACCTCTCTATTTATAGAGAAACTGTTTTAGAGGCTCAAGTAATCAGAAATCAAAGATCACATGTTATGGTTTCCGGGAGTATCAGAGTGTTTCAGGGCTTGTCCACTCGTGTTAAGGCTTGCAAACAACCTCTCTATTTATAGAGAAAATGTTTTAGAGGCTCAAGTAATCAGAAATCAAAGATCACATGTTATGGTTATGTGACTTGATTTTGAAGCAAACTTGAAATACATAGTTTTAATGCATAGTACAAGGGCTTGTATGGTGGTTTACAAGCTTGTATATGGTTGCTTCTTGCTTTGAAATGTTTTAGAATCAGAAGCAACAATGTATGGGCTCAAGACATTGTGTATAAAGCAACTTTTCGAGAATCGCAATGTTAACTTTGTGCCAAAAATGGAATAATCACTTGGACAATGGCTCAAGCACTTGGATCATAGCTCAATAAGTTGTGTAAACAATTAATTATGGAGTCATTTTCAAATTATAATCATG